GTGGATCAGGAGGACCCCCTTTCCCACCAAATTAGCTCTGGTTCTTAAACTGGTCTCGTTCAGGATTCAACAACAGTCGACAGTAAATAATCTCCTCCTGTGTGAACTGTCTGAACAGGGTCGGCCTGCGCTTCTGTATCTTATTTTTTGGCTTATTTTTCTGGCCCGGGGGGTTCAAGTCCAGCATGGATCACGTGGCAGCCCATTACTCTCTATATCTATAATCTGCTGAGTGGCTTCATCCCTTAAACCATCTCTATCACATTCGTGATGCAGCCCAAGGAGCCACGTCGTCTTCCTCACACCTTTATAAACAATGGGACCCTGTGGAGTCTCCAACAACTGGACAAAGGCCCATTTTTGTGAATGGTGTAGCTGTGGGAACAGTAGCTCCGAGGTGTGAGAATGACAAATGATAGAGTGTGACAAATGGAGAGGCAGTAAAAGTTGTTTGCTAATTAGAGACATTTTTATTGCATTTTTATTCTCTTACCAGCATAGTAAAAAAAATAATTAGATAAGAGCCAGTAGTGGATGTAAGGGTCAAAACTGCAGCAAACAGCCGAACAAATGTCGCTGCGACTCCACGCAGAGAGGCTGGGTGAAAAAATTAAGAGCCAGGAGGAGAATTTGTTAGGCTGAAAAGATTGGCGAGATTGAGTTCAGTCTCTTTGAAGCGAGGGCAGAAACATCAGTTGGGGTCAAGGAGGGAAAGTTGCTCGCCTTGCGTGCCAAGTCCCTCACAAGTTCTCTTTGTTCTGTCAACTTTAATTTTCGACACACACGTTCTCTCCCACTGCTACCATAAGGCAACTCCAATCTGTCGCTGCTGGCAGCAGTCTGGAGTTCACCATCCTCGTTTGAGTGACTTTTTTCTCTTCCACACAAGTGTTCTGTTGTCTGTGGCTTTATTGGCGTGGAAAGTCGTTCTGCATGAACGCTAAACAGAAGGGTGACAATTGGAAAGAATTCAGCTCGGTTGGGTTGAGTAACCGCCGAGGGATTTAGCTCAACAAAGAGAAAAAAGTGGCTCGAGCACAGGATTTAAACGTGGTATAATGAAGACATTTCTGCGATGAGAGTTTGGTGTTTGGTGCGTGATGTGGTTGAGAACCTGAGGTGCACCTAGATCTGATGTTTGACTTGTCAGTGAACCTCTGAGGTTTTGACAGATGTGGGTTGAGAGAGGCAGGAGAGGAGCTGGTACCGTTTTTAACACAGTAAAGTCTTCAGTATCTCTGCTGCATCAACGTCACAGCGATTCCTAAAATAAGATCGGATCGGATCAGGCTAATCTGATTTTCCATGATTCATTTGAGAACTGTGTATTCTCTCACAATCACGTACTCAATCCCTTTAATAGATTGATAATAGATTAATAAGATTGACTGAATCCTGAGCGTTCAATTGTTTTATTCAGAATTTAGATAAAGCTCTGTCACTGGGTCTTATCAATGGTGAGTCAGAGGGGAGGAGGTGAGGGATAATTTCCTGCTTCCTCTCCCAGCAGGATGAGCTCTCTCTGACTCCAAGTAAGGGCTACACACCTCACAGTGCAACGTATATCCCACTGAGGACGATACATACAGGAGATTCAAAGTATGCATATTTGAACAGTTGCTAAAACAAGACCTAAATGCACATATGACTCCATGTATTTATATTGTCTGCAATACAAACCCTAACTACAATATCTGCACAGCAAATAGTTGACAGAACTGTCTTGTGTTTTAAACCTGCAGTCTATGTAACGGCCAGCAGGGCGCAGCTCCATTGGCTGCAATACAAACT